CCAGGAAACCCAACCACTTTTTTAGAAGTGCCCAAGAAAACAGAAAACAGAACAAGTGACAAGCCACTTGAATGGGAACCTTTGGCCAGTCAGCCTAATAAAAATGTTGTAGCTGCTGTTGGCAACTCGAACTTCGCATTTGTGGACTTGGGGCGAACGGGGCAAGACTTAAGCGGAAGCAGTTCCAAACCATTCTGGTTTCTTTTCTTTTTTTTTTTGGCCACTTCCCAAAATCTCTGACGGGCGATTAGCTCGAAAATAATGATGTAAGCGAATGAAAGCTCGAATCTCACATTTGTCAACTGTCTACTTTTAAAAGAATATATATGGGAGATCGCTAAAAGTATCACATATAAATTGTTGCTTACAGTTTGAGGCTTGTATTTGCAATCATTCTGTATAAATAATGTAGGCGAATAAAAACATATATCTATAATTTGTAAATTGTTTAGGAAATATAAAGCAGACTCTGAAGTGCATTAGATAGGGTGTATATAGGATTTACATAATTTTCTTAATTTAACTATGTAATGAAAAAATAGAAGTTTAGAAAATAGTAATGTTATTTTTTGTTGCAGTAATTCGTTAAAGAATCTAAACGCTTTAAAGCTTGAATGTTTTGCACTCTAACTTTCATCTATTAAATATATTGTATTTCAAGATGATCCTAGAAAGTATCAAGGAAACACATGTTCTTCTATAAATCTCTGAGGCAACATTTATAGCCAGTGTTAAGTGCTACATTTTACTACTTAACTCAGCAGCCTCAAGTGGAATCTGTGTCAGCTATTTGAGCCCCATTTAGCATTTCACAGCCTTTTGCCAGTGCACTTAAAGGCAGAATCTATGTCGGATTTGCGAGCTGAGCGCTCTTGAGATGCGATCCTCGAGTTACCAGTGGATGTGGATGTGGCTGCCGTAAATGTGAAGTCGCCTGACCCGCTGGCAATTATCGCCGGCTGACAGGTGGCAAATTCTCACGGAGCATGGGACGTGAACCCTGAGAGCCTCTCACTACCAACTTGACTGCAATTAGACATGCGCAACTGCTGTTCGCTGTTCGCCGTTCTTGGCCGGGCCAAGAAGAGCACTCAGGGGTCAACAGACCTCCGGCAAACTGTCGGCCCTGACTGCCCTGATGGATTGCCAGGGACTCGAGAAGACTCGAAAGCCGAGTTAAAAGAACGAAGACTGAACACTGAACACTGAAGACTGAAGACTGCAGACTGAAGCCTGTAGACTGGAGAACGGTCTCCGTTTGCTCTCTTCTCTCTGGTGGTTTGGCACATCACACAAATCACGCACTTTTTATTTGCCCGAGCGGATGAGGCGGCCTTTTAAGGCTGCATCATGAGTTTGCAAATTGTTGCCGCTGCTGCCGGTTTCACTCGGTTTCCTGCTGCAGCTTTATGGCAATGGGTATTGGGTACTGGCCTACCTACTGATCGGTACTCGGTACTCAATACTCGGTACTCGGTACTCGATTCTCGATTCTCGGCACTGGTCGTGGCGATAGCTCTGGGTCATTTTCCGAGAGGATGCAGTCAAGGCGAATGCAACATGAAACCTCTGAGCACGAGGAGCATAAGGTGTCCCGGCGACAGCAAAGACTGTCGAATTGGGAAGGTGAATTGATCGACTTGGAAATGCTCTTACGAAGGTAATTATTTAGGGAAAAATAGTATACTCTTTATAGGAAATAAATTGAAAACTCAGTTTCAGACATAAACCAATAATTATATATAAAATATATTAAGCAAAGCAGGACTGAAACGAAATGTACTATTAATTCCATATTAAAATAAAATTACTTTTCCTAACTATAATATCCTTTTCTTCTTTGGTTTTGATATCTAATGTTATATCGTTTCCTACTTAAATCGCTTAGAAAGTACCAACATTTCATGGATTGATTGAAGTAAAGATAATAAGCATAACTCAAATAGAACTTTAAGTTATAGAAATTCTACAAAGGGGAGTATAACTCTGAATATTTAAATGAAGGTAAGTAATCACTAATCAGCGATTTCCGATATCATAACCCCACTTGAACTCGCCCGTTCAATAATAATATAATTCCCGCAACACTTCCAAGAAGTGTGCGATACAGATAAACTCAATCATATTCAGATTCAGAGGCGCACAATTAAGATTTCAATACAGGCGATGTACCCCATCATTATCTACCCTAACCGAAACCAGTTACTGCTCACTGCCAACTGCTCCTGTGGCATGCTGTAATTGATATTGCAACTGTATGTGTGTGCGAGTGTGTGTGTGTGCCTGTTGAGCGGGACAGATGGAGCCGGTGCGAGTGAGAGGGGTATGTAGTGGGTTCTTTCGCCAGCGATTCCCAGCGGGAAAGTGGGAAGGAGGTTTTTAGAGTACTTGAAAACCTGCTTCTTTTAGCAGGCGTAGGGGTAGGAGTAGAAAATTTCGGACCGCTAAATGGGGTGGGTTTCTGAATATGACCTTAAGTTACAACGAAGTTGTGACTAATTATTGTCTTTCTTCAGAATATGCACGGTCACATCAGTATCAAATGTCGTGCAAAATGTGTCAAAAGTGAAAAAAAGTTAAGTTTATTCTAAAAAACAAGATAAAGGTAAGTTATAACATAAATATTTTTGTTTGTATATCCTTATTTCAGCGTTACGGATATGGTGAACATAAGCATTTTTACGAAAACTAAATATTAGCCGCCAGAGGCGGTTGTCAAGTAAGTAAGCAAGTTTTTTATTTAAATTTATTTTTCAATTTCACAAGAACAAACAAATGTTTCTTTTCATAACATTTGTAATAGATTCGACATCAAAGATTCTGGCCCATATGTCAATATTAATGGCAAATCTGAACGTGCGCAAGCGGACATTTCGATTTCGTCATTTGAAGAACTCGGCCACTTGGACTCCGATGCCGAAGCCAATCCAGAAGCATTTGTAAGTACTCACTACATTTTTAATAAATTTCAATAGCCATGCTTGTTACTATGTAATTACATTTTTTTTTAATTCATATAATAATTTCTCCAACATACTGTATGGTAAGTATACTTGTTTTTCTAAATTTCTCTATTTTTCCCAATACTTTTTAAATATTTTTTGATTTGTATTAATATGTTATATATTAATATATTATGGTTTTTATTTTCAGAGTCACTCAGAATTGACAATTACAGTCTTCGCCAATATCAAGATGATCTGCGTTCATCGTTCACTGAGGCAAAAAAATATAATATACAAAAATACTTATGACAAAGGTCCTTGGACTGTATATAGATTAATAAATGCATATACCAAATTAAAAAGTATTGTTTTTTACATGTGGAAATTCTGTAAAGCAGGAAGGCCAAAACCCAGTGGATTTTGGCCTGCATTCAGCAGCCGTAGGTCCACTGGATTTTGCCCTGCTTTCAGCAGCCAGAGCATCCACAGGATTTTGCCCTGCATTCAGCAGCTGTAGGTCCACTGGATTTTTCCCTTTACCCCTTCATTTTTGTGTCACCCCCGTGTATTTTGAAAGGAGAGACGGCAAAAATGTAAGGGGTAAAGGGGTTTTTCCACATTCCGCTTGTATGAAGAAAGCACAGGAAAATAGTATATTTTCCACACCTTTTTTCCCGCTGGGTTCTTCCCGTCTTCTTCTTCGATGTGAGGCTGCCACAGCGACTGACTGCGACTCACACGTGTTGCTAATGAGACATAACTCAGGCATCAGGCAACAGGCATCAAGATCGGCTTTAACGCGACGAAGCTCGGTGGCTCTGATAACCTAATAAAGTCATAGCAATTAAAGCGCTCGGAAATATACACACATCCACTCACTCACTCCCTCCCGAAGCCCCGAGTGTCCGTACAACTTGTTTGGCAATATATAACTCTGGCCCCGAAACAACAGCCGCTCGCAGACACTCGAAATATTATAAAACACAAAATAAAAGTTGCCCAAAAATGATGTCACTCGATGGCCCAAAACTCGAACTCGCAATTATAGCCAACACTCTGAGCACTGAGCTCACTGAGGTTGCCTTTTATTATATCATTTTTGTTGCTTATAAAAAACATTTTCGTTCCTTTTTCTTTAGGTTTTTTAGGTTTTCGGTTTTCGGTTTTTTTTTTTGTTTTCCGAGAGTGCTTTTGTAATATATTTTTGTGGGCCGCTTTGCCTTTTGTGAGTGAGTGTTGCTATGTGTGTGTGTGGGATCTCGACTTCTTTTTGGGGGTTTTGAAAAATCATTATTTTAATCGTTTATTGACTTGTTTAAAGCGCCGCTAAATGTTTTCCATGCCATTCGAATGCTATGCTACAAATTATGTGAAATGATTGAGCACAAAACCCAGGGATTTTTTCCCCTCTCTTTCTGTTTTCGGTTCTTTGCCAGTTTTGACAGCTCGAATTATGGCCAGAAAATTATTAGCGTTTTGGAAAGCTTTGATTGTGAGATACGAGAAGAAATGGGGACTCTAAAAATGGAGTTTGACATTTAAGATATGTCTTCAAGAAGAGGTTTAGGGTTTTGTAGGGCATAACCCCTATTACAAAGCTGATTGTAAGGTGTAAAATGTTTTAGAAAAGATAACAATGTTATAACAAATCTTTCTAGCCCTTTATCTGGCTCCATCACAAAAAATCTAATCTCAAATAATTCTCATAAAAGATTAGACTGCCATTTTATAAGCCAGAAAAACCCAGACCTTCCTCTCCCATATAAAACCCATTTATTGCCAAGGCGAACTTTCGAAACCATTCATCCAGAGCAGGCCAATGAATGGAATCGACTGTGGCCAGATCAATTAGTTTTCAATTTTTCCCAACGAACAATCGCCTTCAATAGATTTTCTTCGCTCGGACCGGAGATCCATTAGGTTTTCCAGCCTGGAGCTCAGAGCCGGTGATTAATGATGATGCACCCAATAATCATAAAAACAAAAACCGCACCAGAGAGAAACAAAAAAACTCTCCACCTAGATGTATAAAAATTTTGTTAATTTTGAACTCACCTGCCCTTTTACAGGCCAAGGACATGGCAGCAGCCTCGTCTCGTTTTTTGTGGCGTTTTTTTTTTTTTACCCCGAGCATTTGTTGTAGTTGAAGTTGATGTAGTTTTTACGATCTTGGCTTTCGGGTGAAGGCGAGGTACATGCGGGCCTATCTACTCGCATACACGCGCTTCTATTAGACCTTTTGACTGTTGGCCACGCTAATTTGTGCCAGCTCCCCTCTCCTCTTTCATCTCTCGATCCGTTTTTTAGCTTTTCCTCCGCTTTTTTTCGGTTTTTTTTTCGTTGGTTTGGTTGAAATTTGCAAGTGCTTACTAATAGAACGTTTTGAGTTGTGTTAATGAATTCGAGAGTTTTATTGACACTTTGCCGCTGACTCGTTTTTTGTTTTACTTGGGTTATTGTCTTTACTGTTTTTTTTCGTTCGTTCGTTCGCCTGTTTTTGCCGTTTTATGGGTGTGTGTGTGAGTGTGTTTTTAGTTAGTAGATTTAACGCCACGTTAGTGGTTTTGTTGGCTCCGTAGCATTATCAGTTTATCTAACACTTCTGCTGATAGGGTTTCCAGCTGCTTTCCAGGTGTGCGGTGTTCAGTTGTTCGGTGTGTGCGCGTCGCTGGCTGACGGTGCACTGATCGGATCGCCACAAACGTGGCCAACACGACAGGTAGGTTGGTTGGTTGGTTGGTAGGTAGGTTGATAGCTTGCTAGGTAGTTGGCTAGCTAGGCAGGTAGGTGCCTCTTGGCCTCTCCGTACGGAGTGACTGGGCAGCGCGGTTAAAAACTCTTCTCTAACTGACTTTCTGAGCTCGTTCGCCTCTGCGTTCCACTTTGCGACTTGCCAGCAATCGACGAAGACACGGGGTTTTTGTAACCTCGCGGCGGTTCGAACTCTCCAAAATTACGACACGCCAGCCGTCCCGCTCGCACCTGTGCGAACCAGCGAACCGTATTAGCACAGGTGTAATTACCTGCCGCAGCGGGATACGTCCGTCTCGCTCGTTCGCTCTCTGCGGCTCGCTCTCTTCAGCTGCCCTTCTTCTCGCCTGCTCGCACCTAAGAGAGCCGCGCTCTTCGATCGCAATGATCATTAGGCCGCTGAGTCACCTGGAAATAAGCCGTTCTTAGGTCGGCTCTTCCGATTTACATCGCGTTGCAAACAGGAAAGGCATAATGTTACGACATTATAATGGCTCATATCGGCATCAACATAACGTTTTCAATAATTTCTACTAGTTCCTATGTTTAATAGTGAAAAGATTTGAAGTTAAATGAAGATTAATAAGTTAGTTTACTAGTGTTGTACCTTGCGCACTGACATTATAAATAACAGATTTTGTGATCATTACCCTAGTCTGTAAAGTGCTCCCAATAATATATTTTAAACAAAAACCACATGTAATGATTATTTGGCATTTATTCATAAACTTATGTTTGAGCAATAATTACATTGATAACGATAAATAAAAGTTGTCGATTAATTTGGAGGGATAGAAATTTGGGTTAGTTGTAAAAATATTGTAATGTAAATATTTTGTTGGTTAGAATATGTTCCAGTATAAATGAGCACTAAAACTAAAGCAATAAATATCTTAACTAGGTTACAGGATAATTAAAGAAGATTTTTCTTTTTTTATACCAATAAGGTAGGATAACAAATAACATATAATATTAAAATAGTAAAGTTCTCAATTGAACTTTATTATTTTCCCCGGTGTTTTGTCGGTGACATTTTCACTGGTCGACACTTCCGCTGAACGATCAGGCGTAATTCGTTTGGCCATTACCAAACCGTTTAGAGCAATCTTCTTAGCAGCCTCCGTACGCACTCCTTATCATTATGCGCCATTCCAAGCGGAACTATGTAGCTTCCTTTGGGCGCATCGGAAGTCCCAGCACGAGGCCTTAATCGATCCCTATTATCGTTATGTTCCAAGGTTCCAGCAGAGATATGTGGTTACATTGTAATAAGTTCAAACTTCCGTTTGCCTCTGCTTAGATAAATTAGCACAACAATATCAGAGGAATATTGTCTGCTCAATTTTCGCATTCCATGGTTTTACACAGAGGAAATATTCAAAGTCAGTTCTACATATAAATTTATAGAAACATTCTAAGCGATGACATATGTAACTATATATATGAGTTATTTTAAATGTTATTATTCGAGCGATAGAAATAATAATATTGTACTTAGAAAAAGTTCGGATAGGTAGATTAATAGACTTTCTGTTTATTTAAAATATGAAAAATGTCATAAATTGGTTTACAGTCAAACCAAAAACTATTTCAATATTCACAATCTGTACAAGAAATCCATTGTAAGTTGGAAAATAAAAGTAGTAGGACTAATGTTTGATTTACTTCTATGAAGCTTTTGGCTTAAAGCTTTGGCTTGAAGTTTTGGCTTACTTCTTGTAGAAACCAAATCAGTGGCAATATTTGGTGTTTGTTTTATTTTCCACCTGTGTGCACTCGAGGGGAAATTTTCGCTACTGTTAGTTCTGCGACGGGGTGTTCGATGCCTTGATTTCGTTGCAAGTAACGTTGCAAGAACAACGGCGGCAGAACAGAACACGCTGCGAAGTGGAGAAAAACTTCGTTTGTCGTTTTTCATGCTGCTTAACGGAAGCGGCGGCAACCGTTAGGCGCTGGATCGGTGGCTATATGTAGCTATAGCTGCTCCATCTGAATCCGAGCTGTTGCCGGCGATCCCAGCCAAATGCAATTAGTTGCAGCAACAAACTGCAGCTGCTGCAGTTGCATCCTCGCCCCACAGCAACCGCTGCAACCGCTGCAACGGCTGCAACTGCAACTGCTGCTGCAACATTGGCAGCAGCAGCCCGGCGGTCCGCTTTCCATTTGGCTAAGCAGCAGCCTAAATGCAAGCGTTCTGCAAATGATCTCTGGCAAAATATAATAAAGGAAGTTGGCGAAACACATTTATCCGTCTAATGATGTGATTCCACCCAGATGCCACAACAAGAAGAAGAAGAAGAACTGTCTTGAGTGCATCTTAAATTTATATGCGAACGGTTTGGCTTACTTGGAAAATTCTATTTAACTGGCATTAAATTGGAAAAAGTGTTCTTTCATCAATTTCAACTTAGTTTCATTAGCTTATGGTAGATCTAAATATTTTATGATTCCGCACTAAATTTAAAACATGACCTATGATTTATGATTGACTATGATTTAGTTGACTGTTTAGCACCTTACAAAATCAACTAAAGAAGAGCGGGTTCTTTTTTACAAATATACACTTACTTTGTTCTTATTTTAAATTTATAAATATAAATCTCTTTCTATAAAAATTAAACAAAATAAGTATTTATCATTGTGGTTTAAATATAATACTTCCAAATAATTATGGTAACGACTGTAGAATTTCTTCGAAACAATTTTTGGTCTCAAAATACTTATGCAATAAGAAAATGTTTAACATAAGAAATTTGTTTTTGTTTTACAACAAATTACAAATTTTAAGACGAACAAAAAGAAAGTATAGTATAACCAAATTAAAATCTAATCATCCTTACTGGTGATTGTGAAATTGTCGCTATTTATTTGTGTAAAAACATACACACTTATTTTTAGAAATCCACGTTATATAGACAGCTAGCGTGGTAAACGAACACAAGCGGCTATCATTTTGGCCAGACAACGAAAACGGCCCACAAAACTCGAGCTATTCGCAGCTCATGTGTTTCATTTGTATTTGAAATGCTCGGTTTTTGTATTTCTGTATTTTTGTATTTTATTTTTCACATTGTCATCGAACCGTGACGACGCGTTGCTGTTTGTTGCTGTTCTTGTTGTTGTTGCTGGGATGTACCTGTGTACCCTGTACCCCGAATACTATATATATATTCAGAGAGTCGGAGGTATAACCCCCGCAGAAGCAGAAGCTGATGATCTAAGTGTAGAACATGCGATAATGTTTATGGCCGTCGGTTCTGGGCTCGAATTCGGTTCAAAAAAACTCGATTATATAGGGGTGTAGATCGGAACTCGATCCCAACTGTGGATACGAGCGCCTGCATGACATCGATGTTGGATCGGCGGGAACGGTAGCCCCGAATAAAAAGGGATAATTAATTTTACCACCTACCGCTGCTGCCGGTGACATTTTTCTTTTCACCTTGCGATAAGGAAATGACGAGGCGCAAAACGCAGAAAATTTTCATGGGTTCCCCCATGGAAAACTATCGCCAACTCGCCTGCGGAAGTTCTCGTTTCGAATAGAACAAAATTTCCGTTTATGATATTGTCTTTCCCCTTTTATTTTGTTGTCTAAGCATATGGGTTGTCTATACAGACAGACATCGTAGATGATATAGTTTTTCCACGAAAATGAGTCAGCTGAGCCAGCGTCGATTGCTTTCGGCCAATTGTGCAATTTTCTGATTTCGTTATTGTTTTTTGGCTCTCTGGCTTTCGTTGCCGCTTTGTTGCAATCATTGGCAAAGACATTTGGCAAATTGCATTTCGGGAAAGCCATTCAGTATCTGCTAACTTTCACCTTATGGAGCCAAATCAGTCAATCCTGCGGAGCCGAAGCGGAGTACTCCTCTCGCGATCGCTTCTCACTGCAATTAACAGTGTAATGAACTTTCACCGAAATCTACGAAACAGGAAAAATCATTTCCAGAACCTAACGGATGTGCAAAGTGAGGAAACTGGGGAAACTGGGGAATCTGGGGTTCGGGTCAAAAGCAATTGGCCGCCCAGCAAGAACAGCCAACACGAAAAAGGGCCTAAAGCTTAATTTCGGATCAACATGGCACAGAAAAAGAACAGAAGTCGGGTTAAGGTTCCACTGACCAGTCGTGGGGTTAACCTCGGATGGGTGATGACTTTTTAATACCCTGTAGGTTGAGCAATTCTTAAATGGCTTAAAAAAAATTAAGAAAATATTAAAAAACTATTTTATCGAATTTATTTGATGAAAGATTGATGAAAGCATTTCTTTAAATACTTTTTTTGGCTGAGAAACTTTTTTGAAGTTCAGAAAGAAGAATAAGAAAATATTTTAGAACTCCTATACCGCATATAATATTTGAAGAAATATTAAAATGAGTAGAATATTTCTAGACATAGTCTGGTTCAAAACATTATACATATATGTTTTTAGGATATTTAGGCAATATTCCATATATTATTACATAATTTTAAACACATCTGCCATTGAAGATACCCAGGCGAACTATCTTTGGTAACAGTAGCGCAACCCAAAGTAGAACCTTTTTTTTTTCGTAACGTAAAAACAGCCTAGTTGTGGCTCCGAAATACTGGAAATAATAATAATAACCCACATGTACCGGTATGTAAGACCATTTGACTTTAAGTGAAGTCATCAAAACAGGCCGCATCAGCGACAAAACGAACCAAATTCTGTGAAACTTTTGCCACAGCCCCGGACATAAAACCCAAAAAAAAATATATATATTTTACGGAAAGAGGGAGAGATACCGGAGCGTAAAGAGGATTTCTTAATTACTCGAAAAAAGGGGGCGGAGAAGCGGCGGGGAGACAACAACAACAACAACAGCAACAACAACAAGTACAATCGCCGCATTTAGGGTCGTTTCTTGTATTGGCCTCATCATAATTACAGAGCACTTCTTTTGGTTCTGTTTCTGCTTCTACTATACCAACTTCTGCTTCTGCCTCTGCTCATGATCCCAGGTCCAAGTCCGTTCATCAGGGCAATGATATGTGTCGCGCTCTATCGCAGCTCTAGTAGTCGGCAATTATTTTACGACCTAACTGAAACCAGAATAACCAACTCATAACTATCCAGGGCTCTCTTTTAGTTTTACACGGG